GCACTCATCAGGTAAGAAAGAAGCCGCCTGTGCCGACACGCGGGGCGCTAGGCGTTGGGTCAGTTAGTTATCGGGGACGAGAGATGGTTACGGTTAGAAGAAGACAGCGAGATTTCGTAGCGAACGTATAGTGCGATGTTCTAAGAGAAAGAAGGATGGCTAGAAAGGCCGATTCATAGGTAGGGGTTGCAGAGGGGGAGGGAGGAGCCTTTCTCGTTCCCTCGACGCCCCCAGCCAACGAGTGATCCTCTCGTCGCTTCAAACCGGTGTGCGTCCGTCTGACGAGATAATTTGTTCCTCGTTTCCTGGGATTCCGTGAGCTGGAGGACTCGATACACAACGGAGGTAGAGCGCGGCAGCGGCACGACGCGGCGGTGGGGCCCCAAAAGGGTCCCCACGAAACGAGCCGTCGATGTACGTGCGCGGTCGGTCGCAAGGCAGCGGCGCCTCTTTATTATTACAGGGCCTCGCCGACACTTGGGCGTGGGAAAAACGACAGGAACATTCTCTTGCCGTTTCAACCACTGTCAAGATTGGGATACTCAGTTGTCGAATGAAGTAACTATGTGCTGAACATGACGTCTTCCACGCGCTACGAGCAACTTGGCAATATTCAATGATGATTAAAGCCGATCAAGTACGGAGCAATGGTACTTATAATAATGAAACTTCTTTGCTTTTACATAAAATTAAAATAAAAAATCTAAAATATTTTATTAAAAAAATAATTTAATGCGATTACTAAAAAAATCAAATCTTTCGATTATCACGAATTAGATAGAGGATGAACAGAGGATCTCAAAGAAAGGAGCAAAAGACGAATCTCAAAAGGATCAGAGTAGAGGTGGTGTAAAGCAGACAAGCAGGTTGGTCTGTTCGCCACCCGGGGGCGCCCCAAGGTGGCCGATGCTCGCACGCCAGAGTCAAGTAGAGGATGAAGCGAATGGATCTTCATTAGAAGAACGAAGAGATGAAGAGAACCGAAGAGTCTGGAAGAAACATGGTGGCCTCGCCCCACGCGAAGACCTCCCGAAGATAAAGTTCGAGAACCACATTTGCTCTTCTCGACAAGATTGCCGTCGTCTTTAATACAAATTTTTGCATACTTTATAAAAATTTTGTAAACACAAACGCAAGTTTTATTAAGTGGAGCGTTAAATAATTTTCGATATTTACAATAATACATTAATTTTAATCTTCATCTTTATAAATTATGATTTTAAATTATAATTATTTTCCTATCTTTGTTTTGACATTCGGAAACTAAGGACTAAGAAATATATAATATATAGAGATAAATATAAAATCGAAGAATCCTCGATTATAACTTAAATAGGAAAACATCAAATTTGATATACGAAAAATTACTGGACTCATCCTGGCTGATACGGATTATCCCTTTTTAAAGATTGAAAAAAATATGCACCTGTCTTTTACTTTTATATTCTTTCTATGGTCGTATCGGCATCTTTGTAGAGATACCAATGCCTCTGGCGTCATCGAGGTCCTATTTACGTCTTCCTTCAGACCTCTCTAACCACAAGCCTAATCTCATCTTTATTTTACCTTCATCTGTTGATGTCTTTCTTATGTTAACTCATTCCTAAGGCGACGCTCGCGACACAACTAATTGTGACGTTCCTTGTACGGCCCCAAAATTACCATGAATTACGTTCTATGGGCAAAAATTATTAATACTTCGCCCAATAGATATCTTTATTCGACATTCGGTACTCGTTGTCTACCTTTAATCTTCCCGCTTAGATCCGAAGACTCTGAAAGGTAAATCACCCTGTGCCAGGGGAAAAGAAGCGACAGATTACGCAATTATCCACTTCTCGCAAGCGTGACTTGTCCTTGGTTGATCACCAGTGTCGCATAAATATCAGGTATTACGAGGTTGTCACGCGTCGAAATTCGAACCGACGCATTTTGCCGCTGCAGGCTGTTCCTCACGGACGGGAGGGGAAAAATAGAAGGGGGAGGCAGCGTGGAAGAGACCTTAATCTCGTGGTGAACGGGCGTAGGGCCCCTCAGCCGAGCCCCCACCGTGTGCGTATGTCCTCTAATCATGGTTGGGAAGGCCGCCGCGGCTCAGGATAGAGACGTTCCACGGCCTAATTGCTATATATATGCCAAAAGGGGTTGGGGGGAGGGCCCGGTCGGTCTCGGTCGGTTATGCCGGTGTTATTAAACCCTCGGGGTCCCTCGCTCCACCTCCGTCACGGGGAAACGTTCGGTGGGGCCGTCAGCGGACCCGAATATCCGGCATGCTCGAAAAACTCAACGCGCCGTGAATCGAAGTAGCCGTGCGAGCAATGAAATTCGCTTTGAGTTAACGCCGAATAATTACTGCATCATGATTTACAAAATCGAGCGGTTCGGGGCGAACTTACTTCCGTAATCAGGATGCCAGCAGTCTCTGGCCCTGCAAAATAATAATAATATATAATATAATTTTAAATTCTTAACATCGGCTAAATTCTTAATCAAATAAGACGAGAATTGTAGCCATGCACATAAACATGTCAACTCGAATATATCGTTATTAATATATTCATTCCTATCCATTGATCTTCCTATTATTTTACATTGATTATGAAGCCGTATGACATATGTAACTACGGAATCGAATTCTTTACTGTCTGTAACGGACATTGGTTGACGCCAAACAGCTAGAAAGCCATAACAATTTTTTCCAGTAAACTAAGATAACTAATGGCCTTTAGTATATAGCACTATCTTTCTCCTTCTATTCCTTTTTTTTCTTTCTTTCTCTCCTCTTTCTCTCTCCTTTTCTAGCAGATACTACGCGTGCGTAACAGGTTTCGAGACGGACTCTTGGCTCGTACCCGAAGAAGTGTCGCGCGTCGAGGAAAGTTGGTAATAAACTTATAATGGGTCTACCAGCCAGATTTACAGCCCCATTTACCAAGTTCCTCTCGTCTCTCTCATTGGCTTGGACCGCGTTCCTGACTCTTGTTCCATGTTTGTCTCTTTTTTTTTCCTTTTCCCGAATGTATAGAAACGCCGGCAACGTCAAGAGAACGAAAGAGAGACTGCCGAAGAGAAAAGAGCCGCGCCGAAAAGTCGACGGGGGGGCGTCGACCCGCTCCATTTTCATATCCCGTACGCGGTTTCGTGCACAAAAAGCGATAAATTACGGCACTAACGTACGCTTTTCAGAACATTCTCTGAATTCTCTGGATATTCCAGAGCACTATCTGTACCAAATTAAAATCGCAGAGAAACCGCTGTTGCTTTCGCCTATCTGCTTGGCTGATCTGTACAGTGGAAGTTGAGATATATTCACACGCGAAGAAGAGAGAGAGAGAGAGAGAGAGAGAGAGACAGCTTATTTTTTTCTTGTATCTCATGTGTCTCTGTGAGAGAAAAAGAAAATACCGAGGCGTTGGCAAAGGGCCCGAAATGGACAGGAACGACCGAGAGCGAGAACTTACCACCGAGGTGTCGAGAGTTAGTAGCTTGCTCCCAAGTAAGATTTCGAGATAAAATCGCTTACGAATTAGCGAGGAGCTGAAGTCTCTCCGAGAAACCTTTCGTGAAATTCACGCTCCGTTCGATCGGGGTGCATGAAATTTTAAACGACAAATTTACGAAAGAAAGATAAACGCCACTTTTTTCAAGTGATTAAATAAGCAATTCTGTACATCCTTTGCCTATTTTCCTGAAAGTTGGATGTTTTTTTTTTTATTACTGCATGACAATTAAATCGCGAAAGTAACTCCAAAGCGAAACGCAGAATCCCTGATTTCTCGAATGAGACGGAAAATATAAAAGAGAACCCGTTGGCGTATCGACGGTAAAAGCGAGAGCAGCCATCGTAGTCAATTTCTTGTTGGCTTCATGGCGAATCAGAAAGGCCCCGGAGAGAGCTCGAGCCTGATCGGGCCGCCTCATTGTTTTTCCATGGTGAGGCCCCTAGCGGGTTTTATGAGCGCTGAACGGGCCCCATGACGCTCAGGAGCGTAAGAAGTCCGCTATAGGGGACTTTCGCAAGTCACCCCGAGGAGCCCTTTGTTCCTTGTTTGCTCTATCTGCCGTTGCTTCTTGTAAGGGTTACAATGATGACTATGACGACAACGACGACAACGAAGACGATGACAACGAAGACGACGACGATCGAAGGGACGAGAAAAACCAAAATTGATTCTTCTTTGCTTCTCGCCTTCGCCGCTACCTGCTGCCTTCGTTCTACCTACCGTAGTCGACACGATCATTACGTGCGCGAGGCGGACCGCTAATTCACCGGAAAGTTGGGCAACCCGGGCACAGCCTCGCCGATGAAGATGAATTATGACGTTGGGGGTCCGCGGTTGATTCCCTATTGGCGGCGCTCTCATCCCTCATTTCGCCGACTTCTCCACGCTCTCTCGTCCTTCCTTGTCCTGCTTGCAAACTCGATATCGTAATTATTGCCCGCATGTTGTAGTAGCAAAAGGATCTTCACGCTACTTGCCGTCGCGCTTTATGGCCGACTCATCTCATTATCCGTAGCATGCGAACACAACAAACGTTTTTCGATCGTCGATAGTAGGAGAATCGTGCGTCTGTCTGATACCTGCGACTCAAATGAAAGTGAATCAATAAATCCTGTTCGAGTAGCGTGCAAATGTCTTGCTTCGCAGAAATCACAACATTTGAATATACACAAAATTTATTTAACAAAAATAAAGTAAGACGCTCGAAATAACGACACTATTGATTTACTTGTTATATGTAACAAGAACTAAATATAAAACTATATCGTATAAATTATATATCGTCGGGAGAGGAAAGCTAGAAGAAAGAAGAAGCGATTTTTCATTTTTGAACGGATCGGTAACGGCTACATCAGAGTCGGCTGCTGCGAGTCAGTAATCATCTTGTTCCCGACACCCTGTGTGAATAACATAAAAGGACCGAACTGGAGCTAATTAGGTCGTCGTTCGCCCACACGATATAGCATGGGGGTTGTAGTCGTTGGGACACGAGAAGGGAAGCGTTTCCATACCACTGTAACGAATGGACCGGGTTGTAAGGTGGACGAGGCTACGTTCCGGGGAAATTATCACTGTTCGAGAATTCGAAGCGGTTTCGAACTGCTGTCGTAACGATCCCCGAGCGTGAAAATCAAGGAAAACGAATGGATCATACGGATTTTGTCACGCCCATGAGCCCTGCGATTTCCCGGTTAATCAGCACCAACAGATACACTTCGTTCTGTTCTGCACAATCTTGCTCATTTCACAAGTTGAACAAACAGAAAAAGAAAATAGGACGTAACCAAGTAGGTAGACCAGGAAATTCGATGTATATCAAATTCGTAAAGTGTTAGTCGTTGTGTGACCGTGGAAAATCGGATTTGGTCGGTCTTTACTGAAATGTCATCAATGACATTTTTGACGAAAGGTACCTGTCACGTGTCAAGGAAGATTAATCTTTTTGATCAAAGCATAGTTTATATTATTTATATTTTTTATAGTAATTAAGAATTAGACGACTCGTATTTCTAAATTCCTTCATATTGTGCTTGTATGTATTTTACATTTTACCGAATTCGAAATTAAGAACTATTTTACGAGTTAAAGTTACAATAAAATCTTTTATGGGATACAGGTTTTTTTTTTGTATTATTAGCGTTTTATCAGCCTTTAGGATTATGGGCTGTAAATTCGTTTCTACTACTTGTAATTTATCGTGGTTGCATTTTACCGATTTTTATCTCGATGAAATTTATGACGTTTGCGACCCTACGATAGATTTGTCGTGTTCGGTCTCGCGATGGAAACTCGGGTATTTCCTGTTTCGATCGGTTGACCGATCGAAGGACCGTGCGGCTTTCTTGGAAATTAACTATGCCGCCAAAAGACGTCCGATTGGTTAGGCGATCGTCGACCACGGAATCTCACCACGAATTTAATTAGGTGTGGGACAAAGTTTCTCCTACACTCTTGCAACTTTACAGCTGAAGCGTTGAAATATATTGACACGCTAATCATTCGAATCTTTGAGATTGTTTTACGACTTTTCAAATATTATGACGTGAGAAAATCTCATTTTATGTTTTACTTGTATTTATTTGCTTA